CAGCCTTCATTGTGAGACTGACATCATCCAACACTTCAGAAGTGCCCCTCTCTGGGAGTGTCAGGGTTGTACCCTTTGTGGTTCTTCAGTCCCTTGTGTCTCTCTTTTGAAAGCAGTTTTATTTCTTGATTCAATGTTGGAATTTTGAATGAATCAAGAAATATAAAACCATAAATCTCAGGAGTTGTAAAAGAGCTTTAACAAGCTATCACTCTGGGACACCAGAATGAACTCAGTTCACTGGACTGACATAAAACTCGACATTTTTCATTCAGTTTCTAATTCAGTTTATCAAGACTGCATAAACAGAAAGTGAGGAGGGTTTGAATGAGGACTACTCAAATGCTGATTTCTCATCTTTTTCTTTAAGAGTTTTATAAATTTTTAAGACAAAATCTTGACTGCTTCCCATGTTTAATATTGCAATGTTGCTGTAAAATCTTTGTAAAAAAAGAAACCCCAATTAAGTATATGCATGTATGCTATTTACTACGTAGAATTTTTCCACCTGAATTTAAAAAAAACTATAAAGACAACAAATTGTAATTATAATGCTTTCACACAAAATGATATATTCCACTGCTTTCCATTATTATTCAAAATCAAGCCCTCTTTGCCTGTGGATTAGTTACTTCACAATGTTGTCAACCATATATAACTTAAACTTGGTAAGAGCTTTGCTTAAAAAAAAAAATTAAAGGATGCAACAAGTTTTCCAGACACATTTAGCGATCTTGCAAACACTGGGGAAGAGAAATGACAGCATGAAAATCATTTGAACTCCACAAATTCTACAGTCATGAAACTCATTCCAGGGACCAAGGGCCGAGTTCCTATGTAGAGATACATTTTCAGTCATGCCCTGCTTCTGTCTAACACACAGGAGAGGAATCAAGTCTGAGTATCTCGGTGCATAGTCCTGTTTGTTTGCTTGTTTGTTTTGTTTTGTTTGTTTGTTTCCAGTACCGGGGATTTAACTCAGGACCTTACGCTTGCCAGACAGGCACAATGCCACTGAGCTAAATCATCACCACATAGTCCTGTTTTTATACAGCTTCCCTCAACACTGTTCATTATTAAGATTAGCACTGGGATGTAGGTATTTGCTTCCATCCCTGGTGAAAGAACTTTCTCTGTTCCATAAGAGAATATCACTAATAACAGGATTATTGTTTCACACATAAAAAAAGGTAAAAATGAACAAAAGATTTTATAGTTAAGGGTCTGGATTTGTATCTTGGATCCATTAATTAATAGAATGAGACTGAATATTATTAAGCACACAAAACAAAACAAAAAGTAGTTCACACTGCATAGGTTTGTTTGTAAGTTTAAGTACAACAGATTATGTTAATTAGATAACCTGGTCCTTAACATATATTGATTTGAATTGCTGCAAGATAATGTTTGTTTTATTAGTATATGACTAATAAAAACTATTACATCATTAGTCTAGTATAAATTGAAACAAGAAGATTGTTTTATGCCTGCTGCTTAGAAAAATACATAAAATTAAAATGTAAACATGTTAATGATAGGCAATTAATGTAGACCTTTCTTTTTGGATATTAGAGAAGTACTAGAACAAGCTTGAAATTAAATCCTGATAAGATAACTTATTTTAATATCTGAAATCACAGGAATACTGTTATTAGGAGATTAATCTGGACTCAGTAAATTAATTAGGTATAAACACATGCAACAGGTTCTCCAACTTCATTCAGGTGTATTTATTTCTGAGCACTAGTTTTTCCTTTGGGGTAGTATTTCACCATGTTGCTCAGGCTGACCTTGAACTCTCTTGAGTTGAAACAATCCTCCTGACTCTGTTTCCTGAGTGGCTGGGGCTACGGGTTTCCACCACTGTACCCAGCCTGAGAACCTTCTTTACTTCAGATGCTACAATATGATTGGTGAATAATACAGTTATGTTCTTTACACTCACAATCTAGAGGAAGAATTGAATGCAATAGTTAATGTGTACCAGTAGGACCTTATCCCAGGCAGTGTAGAGAAGGAAATGCTTCATGGACTTCTCCCTGGAGAGGTGAAATGTGAACTAAGCTTTAAATAAAGAATACAACTTTGTCAATATGGAGGTTCATAAGAAGGCACATTCCAAAAATGACAGACTGCAGGGAAACCTCAAAAATTTTTAGAACTAACCAAGGAACACTTGTGATAAAAAGGTATAAAGCAATGCATTGTTGCTAAAAAAGAGAGTTTTTTAATACACACAATTTTACTAGAAAATTTTAAATTATATATTGAAGTCCATACTTTGAATGATCTAGAAATGTTTAATGAAATGCATCTTATGGTTTTAAAGAGTAAATACAAGAGTAAAATCTTATTCCTAATCTTTCTATAGTGCTGTCATAAATACAATCCTGCTTTGCTGTGGGAAAATTATCACCCCAAAAGGAAATATGCCCTTTTATACTGAATACAAGATTCTCCAGAATGATGTGTAAGAATTTTGTTCTAAGTTTTTTCATTGAAATCTCAAAAAAATGAAAAGAAAAAATACAAATGTGATGTCTGTTAAAAATGTTTCATTTAAAGGATGTTACAAATTTTCATTTTCTTGTTACATGCTTTATTTTTTAGCTTTCTTTTTTATTGCATTGTTAGTTTCGATTATCTTTCAAAATCACAACTTTATTTTAGAAAAAAACGTTTAAACATCTTGCAGAAAGTGTTAAAAATGATCAAATGCCTTTATTGCTTTGCTTCTGACATGCTTAATTAGGGACTCAATGATTTGTGACGTTTTATTCAGTAAACTTTGAAATTGAGCTTACTTTGCATATTAATGAAATATACAAAGCAATCTAAGCAAAGAAATAAATTCTAAGTAAAGTGAAGATTTTTAATGAATCAAAAACAAAATATACAAAAATATATATTTGCTGTTTTACTGTCTCTCCTAATAGACTATCAGATCTACAAGAGCAGAGATAGGTCACCCTGTAATTCTATGGGCTCCATGAACTACCTAAAATGTGTTCTGTGAAATACACGTTGAAAGAATTAAAGAAGGAAAGGACTTAGGTCTATGAAATGATTTTTAGGTAAACATAAATGGATAGTAGTACGCAAGTAATCCATGTTAAAATTTTTGTCTTGGAGTCATTTCTTTCTTTTCTTTTCTTTTCTTTTTTTTTTTTTTTTGTACCAGGGATTGAACTCAGGACCTTGCGCTTGTGAGGCAGGTGTGGTGTCACTGAGCTTAATCCCATTTGGCAGAATAAATTGGGTAAATATTATTGGTAGTTTCTGTTATAAGCATATACTGAGTTTATTAGTAGTTCCTTCCTAGGTCTTCACAAAAGTCACTGTAGCCAAAATCAAAATTAAGCAAGCTATGAACACAGGACTAAAGTCAGTATAGGCAAGAAATAAAGCTGAGTAGACTCACTGTAGAGAAAGCAGAATTGGAACAAGTGAGCAAAGCTGGATGCTACCTTATTTTTTACTGTGTGGATTGAACATCCTGGAAATGTCATTCAGCTCAGTTGTATAGAATAATACCAACTCTGAACACACATATTGTTGACACCTTTATAATCATATGGCAATTTCTTAAATCTGTATCTCCAAAGAAGGCTAAAGAAAGAAAATCATATTGCTGTGTTAAAAGTGGATCTTTAAGAAGATCTGACCCAAATACTCTGGCCATGTTACCCCACATCATTAAAAAGAATAAATGGAATAACTTTTCATTGTCATTATTTAAAAAATCTTAAATCATGCAAAGATTTTCATCAATACATCTTAGAGCTGAATATTAAAATTATTCTTTCCTTTAAAATATTATGTTCTTGAGTCCTAAACACAAGAACCTAAGAAAATGTGTTAATGCTGTTGACATTGACTCAAATTAAGATATGCAATTTTAGAGTCAGAGGAAATACATACAGAAAGATCTGCTCCCTTCAGTGTTAGAGAAAAATTTATTTCAACTAGGCTCCTACAGCAATTAGATTAACTTATCTATTCAAATAATTTCAGGAAAACTCAAGGAAGTAAATTCAGGTTAGCTGGAATCTGAAATGCTTAGGGAATAGCAATAGACAAAGCAGTTAGAGATAAGAAAGGATAAAATGGGCCAAATTCAAAAGAAACAGTAGATTTTAAAACTCAAAAGTCTCTTTTTCCTTTTTTTCCTGTTTTTCATCTTACACAGTTTTTCAAGCTATTATTCTGGAATAGATAATTAATGTCAATCAAGAACGAAAAGAGAGTCAATATTTTCTGCAGATAGAAATGAACATGCTTTTGAGAACACTTTCAAATACAAATTGTGATGGAAACATAAATCATGCTGAGTGGGAGAGGGCTGCAGTTTCTTTATTAAATAAATACCACAAATCTGTGGAAAGTTCATGGGAAAATTATTATTACCCTACGACAGCTTCTCTAAATTTTACTTTTGACAAATCAAGAACCTCAACAAGAAAAGAGAGAAGATTTAGCAGTTTCATCTGCTGTTGGACTATAGGCTTTTCTAAATTAATATTGTCTAATATTCATTTTATTAATATGATACTTTATAATTTTCTAAGAGCCTTCACACATCTCCACACATTTTACCCTTCCTATAAACTTGTGAGGAACACATTCCAAATGTGTATATACAAATATATAATGAACATTGTCTAATAAGTACATGGGAAAACTTAATCTATGCGGGACTGTTTGAAGTTACAAAATACAAATAGCAGAACCCAGATCTCTCACACTGGAGATTATAAAATTCATTAAATTTTCATTATATCACAATCAAGCATGTACATTTCAACACAAATGCCAAAAACTACTGCAAATTATTTAATCACATGGCACCCTTCAGTGAAGATGATTGTTAAGTTGGCAAACAATGAATGCTATCCACTTAGAGGTGAACAACAAATACATTAAAACTCAGAACTAATTTGGTAAGAAGCAGTTAACTTCAAGGTGATTAGATTCTATGGTGCTCTGATGGTAACACTCACCTCTTTTTGACGGTACTTAATGGCCAATTTTAGTCTTGCAAGATCATTTCCACTTTGCTCTTCAAGCAGACTGTTGTCATCTCGGTAATTAAGAATAATTTCCAGTTCTCTGGAACTCCTCGTCTGATCCAGGAGGTCCTTCGCAAACTGCTTGCATTGTCGTGACAGCTCCTCATACTCTGACTTGAATTCATTTTCCACTTTGCTCAGTTCCTGGAGCTCCCAACTGAGTTGAAAGGCTGTGAGAAAAGGATCTTCGCTGGACAGTGCAATGAGCGAGGGACTGGCCAGGGCCTTGTAGATGTTTAGTCTGGAACGCGAGTGGCGGAGGCTGTCCACATCTGAGCTGGAGACGCATTCCACACAGTTACAGCGGACCTCGTGGGGTCGGGGCACAGAGACGCCTTTCTGGACTAAAAGTTTTATTATCTCGTAATTGTTTGTATGGGCTGCCAAAATGATTGGGGTGATATCGGGAGTAAATTCAGAAAACTGCTTATCAAGGAGTATGGGAGGTACCTAGGAGAAAGGAAGAAAGCAGAGGGGATGAGTATTTACCCATTTGTTCAAGTCTGTGAATTTCAAACAGCATACTATTGCAATGTTGAACAAAGTTCATAAATCTTTTGCTAGATTATTTTTTGCAAGAGAGATACATTCTTTTCTCTAAAGAAAAAAAAAGAAAGAAAAAGGTTTTCTAGTGCGACGCATTTATTCTTTCTGTAACCTGAATTGTGACATTTTATGAAATCTTAAAAAAAGGTGGTTAGAGAAATGTTTTTCTCGATAAAAGCATTTATTGCTCCCAAGTTATTTTCTGACCATTTTGCTTTCCTTTCTCCTAGATGTTGATTTCCTAAATAATCATGAACTATACTGAACTACAGTTAATGAGTTGTTTTAAACTCAAGCACTTTCTCTGCAATAGTAGTCTTTCAAATCCTCAGTGAAGATTTTTAATTTGTTTGTTTGCTTTTAATTGTCTGTTACCTTCTGCCTTCTTAACATTCGCACTAAGATTAAAGGTGTCAGCAGAAATAAGTGGGCTAGCCTCAGGGTTTCTTTTCTATCTTTTTTGGGGCATATTTTTCAGGTGACAAGAGATGTTCCACTTCTAAGATTAATGTACTTTAGAAAGAAACAAACACTGAACCTGGTTACCAGTGTGAACTCCCATTGAATGAGGTCACCAATGTGTTTACCCATGATTTCCTTTGAGTTATACTCTTGGGATGGTAATGAAGAAAATAATAATACTTCTAGGTTCATTAACTCTTGTCTTTTATTACTCATATTTTATAGATAAGTGGGATAAGTGGAAGACCTGTGATTCAAACCCATATCCACCTGTCTGACACCCTAGTCTGTAGAAATAGCGTGCAAGTCTGTATACTATGTTGCTTTATTATTTTGAGTTTAATATTCTTGATGGCATGGAGTCCCAGAGACATCTGTGAAAAATACATGCTACATAAAGATAAGTTAAGCAAAGCAGAAGAAATATTAACCACATATTACATTAAAATATGATGAGGATGATATGTGAAGAAAACCACAAAAAGAATTAATGGAAAACGATTGTCAAGAAAAATGATACATATAATGAAGCTTCAATTACAGCACTTTCACATAGAAGTATAATTTTTATATGTGAGTAATTAAACACATATGTCTTGAATTCATCTAGCCATTTAGAATATCTGTTTTGTAAGAAACACTATATAAATATTAAAGTGAATACATAAATATTAAACACTATATAAATATTAAAATTATTTACTTAAAGGGTTATTTTAAGATGCATGCCATAAGTTGATAGTAAAGATGGCAACAAACTATTCTAAAAATATGTTTACAGGCCTATTTTGAGGGGAAAATGAGAGGAAGTGTGCAGGAAAACAGAAAGGTAACTCAGAGAAGAGTATGGAGTAGTTCATAGCTGCAACTCCAGTGCTCCAAGAGTAGTCAGGGGTAGGAAAAGCAGATGCTACAAGCACAAGGTTAACCTGGAAAGTACTGGCAGCCCCAAGTAAACAAGGGACTGACAGTCTCTTCTGGCGACACCCATGATCCCTGCAAGCTTTGAATCCAGTGTGGGGATATTGTCTGAACATTACCCCTCTTGCTTGGTAGAGTAGCTTTGGAGGTCAAATCCACTGCAGTGCTCACCATTTTTTGGAGTCCTATAAGGAGAACCCATCTAGGGAGGGATCTTATTGATTGGGATTGAGATACTTTGGAGATCAGTCAACACAATTCTAGATCTCAGGGGACAGACAGTCTGTTGCAGTGACTGGGTGGGAAAGAGCTAGGAGAGATAATCATGGGGGTGAGGTTCAGACACAAACTCCAGAGAAGTTTAAGCTGCACAGAATTCAAGCTGTGGAGGGTTTGGTAGTGGGTGGCACTGTCTTCTGTAGTGAGGATCAAGTCCCTTCATTTGTGGTTTTAGGCACCTGGGTGAAACAGTAGCAAGACTGAAGCTGGTAGGTTAACGTCCCCTCCAGCACAGAACTGTTCCTTCCACTCTCCGATGTGTTTGCGGAGATGCTTCACCTTGTACATTTGCTACACTACTGGGTGTATGGACTAAGGCAGCCTCTGGAATGAGTGTACATTTAGTTTGTCCACATTTTGTGAATCTAATTGCAGCTAGCTGATGTTTGAGATGTGCATTAAAAGAAAAAAAGCAAATATGGGGAGAAAATTATTAACATTGGCACATCCCAGGAAGTATTAACTGGCCAAGCCTGGGGAGGAACATGGGGCAGATCTCAGCCAATGTGCAGCACAAACCTGCATAGTGACAGCAGACAGCAAAAACAGCAGGTCCCAGCTGCAAGTCACTGTCCCCTCTCCCTGCCTGGGAGACTCCAATAGTTAAGGAACTGGGAAGAACCTTCTCCAATTCCAGCATCTCAGGTAGGAGGAAGTTTTTGCACTCATTTTTCTTTTCTTTTTTTCTTTTTTTCCTTATCTTTTCAAATTATATTTACTTCTGTAAATTTAAAAAATTATATCATTGTTATCTCTTACTCTTTGCTTCTCCCTTTTTAAAAAACACTTGTTCTTTAGTTTGCCCTTCCCCACCTCCTCTTTTTAAAATTGTTTTATTATTGCTTTTATATTTTTCTTATCTTTTTAGTTTAGTCTATATTATTTTGCTCATTTCTATTGTTATTGGTGGTATGGTTGTTGATTTTAATCATCTTTTTTTACTTACTTCTATATCATTTGTCTTTGTGTTATTCTTACTGTGGTTTGTTTTCTCCTCTGAGTTGTACTGGGGGTCAAACTCTAAGGAGAAGGCTGGACATTATAATACTCTCATGAGTATTCTGAAACCAAACAATAATCAATATACTCACAGCTGGCAAAATACACTTCAAGCCAAAACAGTTAGCAGAGACAAAAAATATCACTAACTTTTGATAAAGACAACAATCCATCAAGAAGACATAGTAAGTGTACATGCATCAGATGTTGGAGCACTCATCTTCAAACAATCACTTAAGAACATAATGTGAGAAATGGACCATAGCATAACAATAGGGGGAATGTCAACACTGCTATTAAAAATAGGTAGACTTCTCAGACAAAATAAATGTAAAATAAAAAGTGCAGTATTCACATACAAATTGACATATAGACTAATGGAGTAGAAGAGAAGACCTGGGAATAAACCCATGCATCATCAAGTATCTGATTCTTGACAAAAGATCCAAAAACATACACTGGAGAATAGATAGCCTCTTCAAGGAATGGTTTGGGTAAACCAAACACCCACCCTAGAGGATGAAAACTAGATCATTATCTCTCACCTTTTATAATAATCGACTCAATGTTGAAGACCTTCATGTAAGTAGACTTTAACGTAAGACCTGAAACTTTTTAACTGTTAGAGGCAAAAAGGGGAAATTCTTGGAGATACTGGCAATGATTGCCTGCACAGAACTGTACTAGCTCAGGAAATAACAGTAAGAATTGACAAATGAGATTACATCAAAGTAAAAAGCTTCTGCACAAAAACAAAAAGTAAAAGCTAGCTCTCAGAATGGAACAAAATTTTTTTTCACCTGTCTTAGTTAGTTTTCTCTCCTTGCTAAGAAAAAATTCCTAACACTCACAAGTTAATAAAAGAAGGTTTATTTGGCTTACAGCTTATAGAGGTTTCCATCCATAGTTGGCTGGCTGTAAGGCAGAGTGACACAGTGCAGAGAGGACATTACAGAAGAGAACTAGTTCATGGCAGTGGAAGACAGCAAAAGCAAGCAAGGCAGTTTAACAGTGTCTTTCTGCCTCTTTTATCTTATCCAGGCTACTTGGGGTGGGTAGAACTCATACCCTTAATCCTATTGCCCTTAAATCTAGCACAGCACCATGAATCAATCATACACTCTAGATTCAGCCTTTTTTTTTTTTTTAAAAGTCTCACCTACAATTACATGAGGCTTTGAGGAGACATCTAGACATGAGCCATAACACCATCTATTCATCTGACAGTATTGATATCCAGAACAGAAAATTCAAAAAATTCAATACCAAAAGATCAAGTAATTCAATCAATAAATGGGTGGATGATCTGAACAGACATTTCTCAAATGATGTACAAAAGGCAATAATTACATGTGAAAATGTTCAACATCTTTACTCATCAGGAAAATGAAAATCAAAACTATACTGCTATTCCATCTCACCCCAACAGAATGGCTATCAAGAAAAAATATTCTGATGAAGATGTGGAGAAAAGGAACCCTTCTACATTGTTGAGGGAAATGTAACAATGTAGCTACTATGGAAATCAATGTGGAGGTTCCTCAAAAGCTAAAATTAGAAATAACATATGGTCCTTCTCTACCCTTTGTGGGTACATACTTGAAGGAATCAAAGTCAGAATACAGTCAATATATGTGTGCACTCATTTTTACTTCAGAAGTATTCACAATTGCCAAATTATGGAATCAGCCTACATGCCCATAAAGAGATGAAAGGATAGAGAATGTACAGTTTATAGATATGGTGGAATATTATTTAACCATAAAGAAGTATGCAATCATATCATTTGCAGGAAAATGGATGGAACAATAATAAATTATTTTAATCAAAATAAGACAGAATCAGAAAGGCAATCATGTGAAGTAGAAATCGAGCTATTAAAGAAGGAGAAGGGCGTTGGAAGGGGGAAGGGGAAAAGAAGGATACAGGGAGGGATCAAATATGTGCAAGTGTGCAAATGTTAGGGGAAACCCATTATATTGCTCAATTATTATGTTCTAATAAAAATGAAAAAATATTGAAAGAAATTTAAAAAATAAAATATGCTTATGAACATTGGCGGTGGGCCAGGTATGGTGACATACTTCTATAATCCTAGAACTCTGGGAGGCTGATGAGGAGGATCACCCATTCAAGTCCAGCCTGGGAAAATTACCAAATATGTGAGGCCTTTTCACAAAGCAAAAAGTTAAAAAAGGGGCTGGAAATATAGCTCAGTGCAAAGGCCCTGGGTTGTATCCCTG